AAAAAAATCATTTACAAGGCAATTAAAAAACGGAAATGCCAGGCAGCTGCTAACAGAATGATATGCGCCGAGCGATGCTAATAAAAAACACAGCCATAGGCCAAAATACACAAATCACTTCATCTGAGGAGCCACCGCCAGCACTCGCCAGGCGAGTGCATGATATTAGTAGAAAATGCACTACCACCTGTGATCGCCCCGCCTCTCAGAAAAAGTGAAAAATGTGACTGTAACTTCCAAACTCAAATATTTTCAAAACACTATGCCACGCGAAATTCTTAAAAACCATTTTCTTGAATTTCTCGAAGTGCCCTGCCACCTGCAAAACAACAATATGATTTAAAAAATTGAAGATGATTCTATGTGAGATGCTTCACAAATTATTTCCTCGGCAAAATATCTAGTGAATACCTTCTTATCATCAGTCCAAGATAAACGGCTTTAATTTTCATATTGCCACTGGGGCATGGAACATGAGCGATCATTAGATTCGACAGAAAGTCGAGTGCCTCGTGTTCGCGTGGCCGTGCTGTGTTAGCTGCGCCGCCAACACCAAATTTTCTCATTTTTACCTACAAAACATCAAATCAGTAAATTTATTAACTTTTCGAAAAAATCCAAAGCCGAAACTGGGAACATCATGCTGCTAAAGCAAAATCAGATTGTGTAGCAGAATTTGAAATAAAATTTCTCCTCCGGCAAAGACACATTTTCCTGGACTACAAAGAAACGATTAGTTAAAGAACAGAAAAAGACAGCGGGATTTTCCTGCTTCTGAAGAGAGTTTCAAAATCAGCCCCGCTCAAAGTGAAGCACTTTTTGAGGTGCAAAAGTTAGTTGACGTCCAAAGCATGTCCTAGTCCATAATCTTTATGAGTTCGAAGAATCACACATGTTAAGAGCAAATAAATAGCAACGCGCACCAGACTAGCCAGTGTGACCATGCGTTTTGTGCAATTCAGCCCATCGAAGGATTGCCCATTAATGATTTTCACTGCTTTGTACTTTCTTCTATGCAAAAATAGTTCAAACATTGGAAAATAGTTAAAAATTTCACGCACCAGCGCATGAAAGCT